CCCAGCCATTGGATCCCTCCTGGACTATGTGATCCGTCCAGCAGCACCTCCAGAGGCCTTGACGCTGGAGGTCCAGTATGAGCCAGAACGGCACCTTCTTATTGACTTTCTACCATCGCTGACCCTCGATGACACCATCCTGGTGGCCAGACCCCATCGACTGGTCCAGTATGACAATCTGTGGCGACTGAGCCTACGGCCAGCAGAGACAGCTCGCCTGCGGGCCCTGGACCAGGGTGATTCTGGTTGCCGTTGCCTGTGCCTCAAGATTCTCAAAGCTGTGTGCAAATCAAACCCAGCACTGCGCCACCTCACTGCCAGCCAGCTCACCAATGTCATCTTGCACCTGGCCCAAGCGGAGTCTGACTGGTCTCAAGATGCACTAGCTGACCGCTTCCTGCAGGCACTGAAAAGTCTGATTGGCTACTTGGAGGCTGGTGTCTTACCCAGTGCTCTCAATCCCAAGGTGAACTTGTTTTCAGAGCTCACCCCTGAAGAAGTGGATGAATTGGGCTACACCCTCTACAGCTCCCTCTCAGAGCCGCAGGTCTTGCTGCAGACGTAATGAGACTTTACATGGGACAGTGTTGCTGGGGTTGTTGGCCAAGGTGGACTTTGTTTGACTCTTACTAAATGTTGCCCTCTTCCCCCCCCCCACACACACACACACAAAATCTTTTTTTCTTTAGGCCATCCATACTTCCTGCTATAAAGTTGGTGCTTCTGCTGGATTTCTTGGTGCTACTGGTCCAGTCCCAGCTTTTATCTGTTGCCTGGGAGGGCAGGGTGGGTGGAACCACTATGCAGTGTTTCTTCTTATTGCCTACTGCAAGTGTTCCAACCTTGTACCAAAACACTGTGCCCTCTTTGCCCTATGCTACTTGCTGCAGGGAGTGAACCCCTTCACTCTCACATTAGAGTGGGTGGAACTGGGCCAGTGACTCCAATGGCAAATTGAGCAAATTTATTGTTGATGTCTAGTACTTCTCCCATCCTTATTTGTTTCCTTTTTCACCTACCTTATTGCTTTCCTTTCATTTCTCTCGCACTCAGACCCAGCAGTACATGTCAGCCCAACTGGGATTTTTTTTAAATAGGACAATGAATAGCAGTGATTGTATTAGAGTGAATGCTGCATGGTGATTGTACAGGCAATTTTTAGGGGCACAAGGCTGCCAAGAGAAGTTTGCACATGGCTAATGTTTCTGCCAATGTAGAGCCCTGTAACATTGTCATCCTTAATAAGCTGGGTGTATATGATCAGTCAAAGGTGCACTGGGAAGAACTGTTTGCAAATATCTGAGGCTGAGGAGTGGGGTTTGGCATTCCTTCCTGGGGAGTATTGCTGGAATTGCCTTGGAAATCAAGAATAGTCAAGGTGGGACCTCAGATATGCAAGTAAGAGGCTGAATACAAGGGCTGTTTTTTCAGTTTCCATCTTACTGGACCCCGCTTTCACCATCCTGCTTTTTATCTCAGTAACAGGTGGAAACAAGTTTATTCAGTAAAGACATTTGCAAGACACACATTGGTCAGATAGTCACCTGGTATGAATTGGTGAACCTGCACTGAAGTTGATGAAGTCACAATGAGTTACATCAGCTGAGGATCTGACCTAATTTCAGTATTAGTGCCTAGTAGTTATCTAGGAATGAGTTACTGGAAACAGGAGATGAAGGGTATGTATCTGTTTTGGAAGGAGGGGGAGTCACAGGTTAAATTTACACTGCTTGCAGTGTGGAGGCATTGGGACAGTGGAGCACATAATTTGTTTCCTCTGTTGGTAGATTTCTGCAATATTGCAATTTCCACGCCATTGTGCTGTTCTCTGCTCTCCCTGCCTGCCTCCAGATGATTATACAGCTTTGAGGGAGTGTCCAGCCACATAGCTGTATCTCCTGCATTGCAGGCATGGAGCACCTATCTGCTCCAGATTACATTACTTCATTCCTGTTGCGTGCTGCCACCTTCTGACAATGGTGGGGCTCTGTTTTGAATGACAAGTACTACCATTATGTGTGCGTGCAGTTTTAGAGTTGTTTCCTCTTCCCACTTTTAACACCCAACCTTTCTATTTAAAAGCAACACAAGCTAAGGAAATGAATTGCAATTGTGGAGACTCAGGCCTTATTTTATTCCCCTCTTAAAGGTGGTGCAGAGGGTTGTGATGTGGAGTCCCCATAGAGAGACAGGCTATATTTTCTAATTAAAGATGGTGCTGATAAGATGAATGTTAGGGATTTGTATTTACCCTAGGCCAAGTTTTCTCAGGCAGTTGATCCAGTCTGACCAGTTGTCCGACAGTATTCAGTAGACAGTGATAATGCAGTGTTACATTTTTAAAATTATTTAATCCCTAGACTCCTGCTCGTTTTGAAACTGACAGCCAGATGCTCAGAAAGCTGTCATATGGAGTCTGCAGTATACAAAGGGTTAACAAATTGTCTTTGTATTATTTTGTTTTTAACTTTTGCAGCAGTCAGTGTTGTGTGTGGGTTGCTCCTTGCTCATATTCCTGGAGTTCAACCCTTTTCCTTTCTTGCTCTCGACTGTCCTTCCAATATCAGTCTTCCTGCCATAAACACAAACAGGTGAGACTGAGTCCCTTGGAGAACTGGGAGACTCATCCTCCTAACTACTTGAAGGTCAGCAAAGCTATAAACATATCAGGAGATGGATGGATTCCCTCTGTGCACTCATCTCTGTGGTGTTCTCCTCTCTCCCCCCCTTCCCTCCCTGCCCGCCCCAAGTTGGTGCTGACTCCAATACAATGGCCTTGATGTAAATGAGGAATCGCATGGTCTGGAATCATCAAAAAAGGGTGAGACAAGAATAGGGAAATCCAGTGTCTTGCCTGTTCTTGCCAGATATCTGTATAGACACTTTAAGTGAACCCTTTGTTTCTTTCGGGCAACCTAATGTTTATGACCATTTCTTGTTGCTGAAAATCTGAATTGGAGTATCACATGGAAATTGAGGCTCTTCTTTTCTTTCTCCATCAAAACTTTGTTCTACTTCATTTCGGTCACTTTCATAACTTCATCAGTTCAGTTCTGAAATGTAAACTTTTTTTTTCTGCTGAGCTAGCTCCAAGGATGTGGCCTCAGCTGATTTAAAGGGAACCAGGGGCTCTTATCCCCCAGGCAGCTGCCACAACTGACAATAATCACTCATTGTTTGCAGTCTCAGCACAAGCCAAAGATCTGTTGGGTCACAGACATTGAGCTGTCATATGCCAACCGACAGTGGTTAGATCAGGTCAGGGCTGAGGCATAAAGGGTGCTGGGGAGGAGGTGGTGGGTTGCAGGGGAAGGGCAAGAGTGCTGAACTAATTTGCACCCCTTGTTAAGGTTGTCAAGCTGGCATCTATCAGTGTTAAAATTCACTACAACTCTAGTTCCATTAAGAGGGGAGTAATATTGTAGGAGGGTTTCTGTGTCTTAAGCATTCATGAGCTACTTCCTACATGAAAATGAAATACAGAGCAAGGATGCCTAGAATAAAAATGCAGCTCATGGCCACTTCCCCTGTTCAAGGAAGAAAGAGCAGCCCATAGAGACAACTGATTTTAACAGGCCCAGAGCCCAAGTCTGCACTCTTGGCTTTGGGAATGCCTTGAGTGTATGTTGCTATTGCTTAGGGAACACACAACTCCTATGAGATTTGTCTTTGTGTTCCTTGTAACTTCAGAGTGAGGACCAACTTGCTCAACTGCAGGTTTTTACTTACCACCGAGTTCAGTCTTTAATCTTTTAAGTGACTGGAAGATTTTTTTAAATTAAAAGCAATTATGTAAAAAGGCTGCCCTTTCCCTCCTGGCAAGCTACTGGTATGGCCACTGGGGTCATGGAATCTGGGGGCCCATGTTATGAAGTGAGTGGTTGAGATGCCCCCAACCCTCCCAGGCTGTGCTATGGGATTGGAAGGGGGAAAGTCTAGTGCATGATCTGTGACAGAGTGTATGGAAATTCTAAAATAAAATAACTTTCCTCAGCATTTTGTCTCTTTGATATATGACAGTGCCTTGCCCCTCTGTCTGTTCCCAGTGCCTGGGGAGGGGAAGACTTGCTGTAAGCACCCATTATAAATCATGATTATAAAATTTAGCATTTCTCTAGCACTTGTCTTGAAGGGCCTTCAGGTGCTTTTGGTAAGGCTCACTTGCCCCTAACTGGTTTGCAGTTCCACCTGCCATTCTTTCTGTCTCACTGCCAGTTGCAGATGGTTGATCATTTTGAGAGAGCGATGATCAGCGCATATTGCCCTGGCAATCTGCATACATGAGTCAAATGTGGAGGATTCCTCGTTAGTGAGTTGTCTCCTTCAGTTTCTCTGAAGTGGCAGCAAAAGCTCACGCCTCTGTGGGTATCTCTGCTTCTGTTAAATGTGACTACATGTGCTTCAAGGGCTTTGTCTTTTGATACTGACTTTCCAGTTCTGAGCTGTGCCCTTCCTTATTGACTCATTGCCACTTCTCTTGTATGCTTTTCCCCAACTGCCAGCTCAGGGTCTAGCTGACGCAGTAGGGAAGACCTCTTGCCATTGTCCCTTGTGTTCCTGGGAAGGTGGGAATGTTGGACACGAAAAGATGCCATCTTTTGACAGATTATACCCATATCTCATCCACCACTACACCATAGTACACAAACTGTTCCATAAGCTTTGGTTTCATTTGAGGCACCTGTGATTAAGTTTGCCTTTCTCAAGGGAAAAGAATATTTAATTACTATGGTCAGTTTTTTAAAACAGTGACTTAAAAAGAGAGTTGTAGTTTTAAAGGTTTCCAAGTTTGGTGTTTTGGAACCCTCATTTCAGTAAAGGAATGACAACGAGCAGGATCAAATTCAAGTCTTTATTTGGGGCTTTTATAGCAGCAGTTTCATTGTGCAGCCTGCCCCAATGAAATCTACTTTTAATGTGAGCCTTGGGCACATTGGCTGTGAAAGCCTGAAGTCTGTCACATTTTGGGAATTTTAAAAGATGGCATCCAGGCATAACCACTATCCCAGCTCTTATTGTAATAACTGGCTGCCATACATGGGAGAAAATGTCTAGTTAAGATCTGGCTGAGCTGGTGCAGTCTACAATGACTTCTTCCCAGCTTGGACAGGAAGCCACAAGCATTGCAGATTCAACCACTCCCTCAACTCCTACCACAGTACAGGCAGTCCCCGACTTATGTCGGATCTGACTTATGTCGGATCTGCAGTTACGAACGGGGTCCTTCCTCTCCCTGGTCTCCAGCAGACCAGGGAGAGGAAGCAAAGCGGCGGAACACGCGGGCAGCGGACAGGGCTGTCCGCTGCCCACGCGCTCCGTGGCTTG